CCAAGTCTTTCAGTCTCTCTCTTAGGACCTGCTCTCCAAGCCTCTAATCATGCACGTGGCCCTCCTTTGGACTCTCTTGAGCTTCTCCACATCCTTCCTGAAATATGGTGCCCTGAACTGGACATGGTACTCCAGCTGCAGTCTCACCAAGGCTGAGTAGAGCAGGAGGATGACATCCTTAGTCTTGCTCAAGATGCATCAGTGGATGGATGCCAGTGTTTGATTAGCTCTGCCAGCTACGGCATCATGTTGACTCATGTTCATTCTGTGGTCTATCATGACACCCAGGTCTCTTTCAGTTGTGGTGCTCGCAAGCATAACATCGCCCAGCCTGTAAGTGTGTTGCGGATTATTTCTTCCCAGATGGAACACTTTACATTTCTCCATATTAAACATCATCAGGTTAAGATCCACCCACCTTGCAAACCTGTCCAGGTTGGCCTGTATTGCCAACCTGGTTGCTGGAGGATAATGCTCTCCTCAAGCAAAAGTGCCCTCAGGCCTGTTTTATATGTTCCCACACAGGGCTGCCCTTGAAAAGTATCTAGATGCTGCACCTGGTGCAGAATGCAGTGGCCCACCTTCTGACAGGGGTAGGTCACTCTAGCATCTGCACTGGCTCCCAGTAGCTTTCTGGGCACAGTTGAAAGTGCTGGTTTTGACCTATAAGGCCTTAAATGGCCTGGTCCCTACATACCTAAAGGACTGCCTTCTTCCTTACATTTCATCATGTTTCCTAAGGTCAGCCAAGGGCAACTTCCTGCATGTACCACAGTATGTCAGACCTGCTTGGTGAAAATGTGAAGGAGGTCATTCTTAAGAACATCTCTTCAGCTCTGGCACTCCCTCCCTCTTGAGGCCCACCAAAGCAGAGGCGGGCAAAATACGACCTGGGGGCCGGATATGGCCTGCTAGGCACTTTCATCTGGCCTGTGATGCCCACCAATTAATTGTACCCTCCCAGCCCTTTCACCCATGACGGTGGGATTGAGGCACTCATGTATACACACTCCACCTTGCACCTTGGTCCCACCCTTGTGGGCGCCAGGGCTCAGCCCCACCAGCACACAGCTTCTGGGCAGGGCTGCTGCTGCCATTGCTGCAGCTGCCAGGGGACCTGCTCAGCTTCCCCGACATCCTGCTGCAGCTGGGTGGGAGTGGGGGGTGTGGGGCTGGGGCTGGCAGCAGCAGGCAGCCCGCCCCCGGGGGGGGGTGGCAACATGGAGCTCAGGTGGGCAGAGTGTGGGTGTGAGGGTGGGTGGGAGTTAGGGATGGGACTTCTAGTCTCAAGATGGTGACCAGGGCAACTGTCAAGGGGCAGAACTACCCATGCAGCCCTCGACAACTCACCAAAACTTTTTAAGTGTCTCCTCAGCAGAAATTGCTTCCCCCTGCACCAAAGCCTGAGTCAGGACATCTTTTGGAAGGGGTGTAAGATTTTCCTATTTAGGCAGGTGTTTAGCAAACAAAGCTAGTCTGAGATGTTGTTTAGGGGCCTCTATTTTATTTTAGTATTTTATTTTCCATGTTAAGTTGTTCTTTTCTCTTACTGTAAGTTACCCTGAGGCTTTGTTGGGAAGGGAGCCATATATATTGTATAAATAATAAATGAATACATGTAAACCATCTGCAGAGGTCCCAGAAAGGCCACTATGATTCCTGGAGAAATCCAGAATTAAGAAAACATCTAAACCAGGAGCGGGCAATAATTTTGGGCGGAGGGCTGCTTAAGAAGGTTTGGTGAGCTTTCGAGGACCACATGTGTAGTCCCACCCCTTGGCAGTTGCCCTGCCACCTGGTTGCCATCTTGGGATTGGAAGTCCCACCCCTAACCCCTGACCTTTGCCACTAGAAGTCCTTCACCTTGCCCCCAAAAAATACTCCGGGGGGCGGGGGGGGGGTGGGGACCAGAAAAAATACAACTCATACACTAAAAGTCAAACAGCTACTATAAAATATTTTCTTTTGATTACAAAACATAGTTTTGTCATGATTTGTGTTTGCATAGTATATATGAAAGTGATTGCACAATAACTCAAAAATAAATTCTTAGTCTTGTCTATTGTGGGGGGGGTGGTAGGGTGTGTGTGTTATGAGGGTGTGGTTGGAGGGGTGTGTGGAGGGAGGTTTGTGAGAGGGTAAGGCTGTGTGGGGGGCATAGGGTATGTGAGGGGTTGTGTATATGTAAGGGGTTCTCGGAGCAGGGTGTGGGTGTGTGACATTTGTGGGGTGTGAAGGATGGTGGGGGGGTGAGGGACCCCCCCCCATTCCCCTTATGGCACAGTAGCAGGCAGGGGAACTTGGGGCACTTGTGCCCAGCACTGATGCCTGGTGGGGCATGGCTCCAGCTTCACTGCACATTGCGGCATGGGGCACAGCCCCCAGTAGACAGTCTCTATCACCGATGCTCTACTGTGAGCCCCTCCCCACTTGCGGCAGGGAG